AGGCAGGGAAGGATCCAAGATAAAGGGGTCCAGGAGCTCAGGGCACAGTGATTCCCCCATGGAATGACAGATGCAAACAACCCTCCTCACTGGATTGCAGATGCTTTCACAGATTCAAGATGTCTGCTCCTTTCTGGACATTCTGATTGCCTGCTTGGAGCTTTCATGACATTGTTGGATGGAACATTTCTCAGATGACTTGAGAAAGGGCGAAAGAACACCAAACGTTTACACAAAATGGATAGCAAGAAAGAAACAAATATTTTGTGTACTGCTGTTTTATAAACATATCATTAATGCTTTAGAGGCCCTCTTTTGGCAACCACTGAAAGAACATGAATTACATAAAAGAGAGCCTCTTTCATGCTCTTGAGCAGAAATGGGGGTATTCATATTCGCATACGAATATCTCCACACAGGTCGCATTAACAAGGGTCCAGCCCCATGGGGCCGGATGGTCCACTCACCAATCCGACGTGGATAGCGCAATTCTACAAATGGCTCGGCGGCACGCGATCCGCTTGCCACTCTTCTGCCTTGCAGCAAGGCTTATCCCGCCTCCTGCCAGGACTGGCAAGTGGATCGCGTGCTGCCGAGCCATTCATAGAATTGCGCTGTCCATATCTATGGTGGATTGGTGAGTGGACCGTCTGGCCCCATGGGGCTGGACCCTTGTTAATGCTACCTGTGTGGGGATATTCGTATATGAATAGACCCATCTCTACTCTTGAGTCTTTGTTTAGATATGAAAGGACCATCTCTATCATTCAGCCCACACCAAGTTCTGTAAAAGAGGGCAGTTTCCATCAGACAGCTGTGCAGTGCTTTCTAAGGACCTAACTTAAAGGGCAACAAACCTATGTTTTTATTTTATTTTATTTATTTATGTATCTATTGAATTATTTATGTCCTGCCTTATACTGGAAGATCTCAGGATACAGCGGGTAGCACCGTTTAAAATATAACTTAAAATTATTTACGCAATTTAAAACAATAAAGAGTGTGGTTATACTTTGAGTACAGCACGGGAGGTTGACTGTGCATCTCTCATCTGAGGACCAGCCTAGTTCCGTACGGAGAGGCTCCTTGCCAGAAGGATGGCTGTCAGCCAACACATTGGCCACTATATGAATGGATGTTGGACTAGGTGGGCCTTTTGTCCAGTTTAGCATGACTTTTGTTGCACTCTTAAATATTGTCCTGAAAATAATCTTGCTTTAAAAAACATTGTTAAGGTAATTGTATGTGTTCCCCTTTGATTTTATATTCATGGACCAAAAATTGTTACTAGCGGTATACGAAATGTACAAAATAAATTAAATGCAGTCTTTGTTCCTACTTGTGTTTACAACTATAATTTTACACAGCCCAGTCTAACGCACATTTGGATGGAAGTTAATTCCCATTTCACTCAATGGAGTTCTTCTGCCGGGCAATCACACATGCATAGATGTAGCCCTTGGGTGAGATCATCTACTCATGGTGTCCTGCATGGAATCAAATTCCAATTCCTGCTTTCCTTAGACAGAGGAACATTTCCCAGAAAGGAGAATTTGGAACCTGCTGCCTACTCACTGTATATCCTTTCTGAGCCCCTTTCTGTATAAGATCCTAAGTCTACATCTGTAGAGAAAAGCACATTTTTCACATTCCACCATGGGTAGCACCTTTAATGAGATGTATATTATTCACATCCGAGAGTAAAGAGGAAGGTCTGCTTCTACCACTTCCCATACTAAAATGGTATTCTTCCCAAAGCTGCTTCTTTCTCTTAAAAAAAATAAGGAAGAGAAAGGAAGCAGCAGCAGCTTTTGTTGCACATTGTAGGTGGCCATCACCTTTCTAACAAAAGATATGGGGGAAATTGACTCCTTGATGCAAGCTTTAGATTCAGAACAGACATTGTTAATTTTCTTAGTACTAATCTTGGACAGAGGTGCAAGCATTTATTTCAGATTGCTGGGTATGTCTGTAAATTGCTTGGATGTCCTAAAGTTCATTTTGAATTTAAGATTGCTGTCCTAAAGCAGCAGAAATCTGAATCCTTTTTAGAAATCAACAGGAGTGATGTCCAACTCTATGTGTTCCTACTAGAGTCAACATGAACATTCCTTGTATGTTTGTTTTTTAATAAACAGTGGTCACCCTGACAGTTTTACAGGCAATGTGATGGGATAAACACTGCAAAACAAAAAGAATAGAGGTTCTGCTTCTTTGTTGGGGCCAATATGTGCTACCTTGTGTAATATGTTTGTACTATTGCTTTGTTTTGTAACCTGGTTTCTCTTTAGGAAACATGCAGTACCTCCGATACAAGTAACAAATCATAATGTGACATTTCTGGCGTTAAAAATACTCTTTCTTAGTGTTCTTGAAGAAATTAATTTATCTCCCTTCATTTTGGCACCAATTTCCTAAAATCTGCTTTTATTCTAAGAATAGTCTGGTGCCAGGAGTTGAGCATCTAGTTCTAGTTCTTAAATTATGGATTTGGACTCTGTGTCCTTTTCTCCTCTGCAAGGCTGGGGGAGGGGGAGGGTAGAGAGAAACAAACAAACAAACAAAGATGGATCCAGAGGCTGAGAGTTTGATTCTCCACTCTGTCTCTTTGACAGCGGCTGAACTTGATCCAAAGGGTTCCTTCCAGCTCTGTAGTTCTAAGTTTATTAATAAAAATAGTTGTGATTTATTACTAGAAGGGATACAGTACAATACTTGAAGGGGTGCAGCAAAACAGAAAATATATTTAATATACTGTATTAAGTTGTTTGAAGCTCATTCTGTCCATCTGGTTGACAGAATAAAATGGAAAGAGGGGGGTATAGAAGGAGCCTCCCTGAAGGGTGGAAAAGCATTGTGAGTGCTATACACTCAGGCCTCTCCTGGGCAAATGTGTGCAACCAGCCAGTTCTTCACTTTCAAAAGTGTTGCACTGTAAACTACTGGATTTCAGACTATGAGTTGGAATTTCATTAGAGCATCAGTTTGTACTTCATAGATTTTGATTGCATTGATTATCAAAAGTTGTGAAGCATTTTTTTAAAAATGAAAACATTGCAACATTTCATTGTCCTGAGGCATAACCTATACCGTGGGCAAGAGGCTACAATTAGGACAAAATTTGGAGAAAGAGAATGGTTTCCAGGAGATAACTATGTCAGACAAGGGAATATTTTATAATTATATGTGTTCAATCTATATGCAGGACATAACTTATGAAAAGTTAGATTGTAATCAAATTACTGTATGATCATGGAATTGTCCATTGCATATCTTGAAACAGCCTTTGGAGTAAAAACCTTCTGTGTGGTTTTAAAAATTAATGATTGTTAGAAATCCATAACTTGAATATTTTATTTACTCTTTTGTTTCCATTCTCTAGCAATACTGCCACTGCATACCCTGTTTCCCTCAAAATAAGACCTAACCTGAAAATGACCCCTAGTATGATTTTTCATGATGCTCGTAATATAAGCCCTACCTCCAAAATAAGCCCCAGTTAAGTTAAACCCCACCTTCCAACATTGTGCAGCAACCAGAAGATGACATGACTGTATTTGAATAAATGTAGATTGTTGTACATGAAAAAAATAAAACATCCCCTGAAAATAAGCCCTAATGTTTTTTTTTTGTTGTTGTTTTGGAGCAAACATTAATTTAAGACCCTGTCTTATTTTCAGGAAAACACAATATTAGGAATATATCTTTTGCACTTAAGAACACAGTCTTTCTCTGAGTGTTGGAGCAAACATGAATCCATCCATGTGTCTGCCAATGCATTTGTAGCTGCCCTTGAAAATGTTCCAGAGACATACCCACACACTCTGTGCGTGCGTGTGTGTGTTTTGGTTAAAAGCTGCACATAGATTTTGGTACATATTGATTGTTACATGCAATCAATTTCCCTGATTAGTGAGAAGTACGAGCCACAACACTTAGTGAGAAGGAACAATCTCTAGGGAATTAATAGCATTTTTCCTACTTTTGTGTGTGCTTTTTTAAAAAAAAAAAAAACAAATATACAAATAGGATGAAACAGTATAACACTCCTGCAAAAAGCTGGTCCATTACTTCCCAGCTCTATACGTTCAAAGTGCCTTTTTTCACCTTCCTTCACTCTGTCTCAGGGTTACATTTTGTGATATTTCGCACAGTTCAAGAGCCATTTCTGTTTTGCTCTAGAGTAGGCATGCATGGATTCCATGTGGATAAGGACCTATACAAGTAAAATAAGTGTAAACATTCCCAATCCAATTTTTATTTTAACAATCCCCCACATACATGCGGGATGATGCCATTTTAATCTCATTTTTAGGCCCATGCTGGGCTGGTAGATTATTTTTAAAATAAAGCATAAATGAGGAAGATGGTTTAAAATCTCTCTAACGATGTGCGCTAGTCCCGATCTGGGTTGGAGCCATGCATTGTTACTCCACAGTAAAATATAAAACATATTTAATGTATTATACGGTTTGAAATTTGGTCTGTCCATGTATCAACCAGAATAAGATGGAGAAAGAAGTGGTTCTGTTTACATGCAGTTCTTTAGACCCACTCTTCACCAGTGAAATAATGGCATGGGATAGATTATGTTCTCAAACAAGGTTCTCATATTCCAGGCATTCTCACTCTGAACACCTTAACCATTCTATCCCACTAGGGTGGGGGTCTTACATCGTTAAAGAATATCAGCCAGTAATTCCAGTCCATATAAATCTTTTGTTCGTATTCCAAACTAGGTTTGTCTTTGCTATAATGATAGCACTTCTCATAGTAATCAGAAAGCAGTTCCCCAACAATATTCCAAACAGACCCTGCTGGTTTTACAAGGATGTCTCTGGGGCTAGTTGTGCCAACTGAAATATACAGTATCTTGTCCATTGCCGGTGTTCTTTGACAGCAGAGGGATGGTACTATGGTGAAAAAATAGGCAAGCAAAGACAACCAACCCAATGAAATATTATAGATTCCAAATTAGCCAACACTTCTCTTTCTTGCAGGTGAATGTCTTGAAGACAAGATGAGCCATAAGGGATCTACAAGCAGTCGTCCTGACTCTGCAAAGTAAGACATCTACAGATGAATTAAACAAACTTTCATTGAAAGGGAAAGCAATTGAGAGGAGGATCAAGGGCATCTGTCAAAGTATATGTTACATAGAGCAGACATTAAAATAGTGAATTCCTTAAGTCATTGAGAGGTGAGCTCAGGCTTCATTGGTATGGTTGTTCTCAGTAGTGAAGATCTGCCTGAATCATATCCCTAGAACACAAAGAGAATTTCAGCTTCTAATGATGCGCTAAAGATAACGTACAATTTGACCCACAGTCCAATATGAATGGAATGGAAGGAAGGGCTGGTCTACTGTGAGGTGAAGGGAGGGGGCTGCTTTATATAGCAGATATAGGAGCAGCAGTGGGGTGTTAGAAGAAATGTGTTATGGGTGTTATGTAATTTGCTTTGAACTTCTTAAGCTATCTTGGAAGTCTTGTGATGCAGTAGTTAAACTGCAGTACTGCAGTGAAGACTTTGCTTATGACCTGAGTTCAATCCCAGGCTCAGGTAGCTGGCTTGGGGTTGTTAATCTACCTTCCATTCTTCCGAGGTTGGTAAATTGAATACCCAGCAATGTGTGTCAGAATGGGGGTGACAATGTGTAGCCAGAGAGAGCATTAAGCACAACAGGGCAGTATCTAAGCAGCACATTTTGTTTTCCTCAGGCTTGGTGGAAGATGCTTTCTGCCAATAGTATTAAACTAAGATTCAACACAATTGTTGTAGAAAACAATTTATTCCTTGCCTCCGGTAACAGAGAAGCTCAGACCAGCCCTGAAAGGAAGTGCTCTCAGGCAATATACAGATGACTTTTCTGAGAGTGGGAGGTGGATTGGTAGAGTTGTCATTTCGTACAGTGCAATATATGATTTATGGCAATGTGTAGATTTCTGTTCCTGAACAGTAATGGGAAATTTCCTTTAATACATCTATGAAATAGTTCCTACGCTACTAGTCATTCTTGTGGGAGGCCCCTAGATCTGTGAATTATTCTGCTTTAAAGTTGGCATAGGAAGGGGGAAAAATTATTATGAACGTGGAAATAGATGGCCTGTGGTGGTGATCGGAGTCTGTGGATCTCAATTTTGTTTTCTTTTACTGTATATTGTTAAGTAAATTTGGGCAGTCACCCTAGTCATAACATTTTGGGTGTCCAAAAAGAGCAGAAAATTGTTAGTTATTATGCTATTCATGCAACTGTTTCTTGGGCCATAACAGTTTGGTTGGGTACTATGTCTCTTGGCTTGGACGTGGCCACCAATTGCTGCTCAGCCTTGGGCAGTGAGGTATCTTTTGGCTGGGCCCTGTTTTATCTTGAAAAGTTGGAGAAGAAGAAACATTCAAGGTCTATTCTTGAGCTCATGGTATGCCCTGCCTAGGTTCTATTGGATACCTGACAGATTCTTAAGCTGCTCTTCTAAAAATTATTCAAATAAAACACTGGACTTCTTTTTATTTAAAGCCGTGACATGTTCTTCATAGTAGTTTTCTCCTTTTGCAGTGGCAGCATGGGCAAAGCAGATGGAGCTGCCAAAATGAGTGCAAAAGATTTATATGGTAAGTTCTCTTTAATCAGAGCATTTAAGTTAATAAGGTTTGCCAATGTATAAAATGTTAGATTGAACTTTGTAGGTAGAAAGCTAGAATTAACTTTTTTTTAACATGGTGGAGTCTCATTGTTTTGGGGTGTTCCAAGGTGAGTCAATGACTGCTGGATGCACGCTATACAAACTCCAGCATGGAGAATACTTCCAGTGATCCCAAGGACTATGGAAAATATGTTTGTGTGTGCAACAGACTTCTGTGGCCCAAGTGTCAGTCTACACACTGCCCTACCAGCCACTGCTATAATTCAGGGGCAACGGAAAAAGTGGCACAACATGAAGAGAAAAAAAGCAGAAAAATCCTAGTTTGTGTGTGGAAACATTGACACATTTGCATGGAACAGCAGGCTCAGTTATCAGCAAATCCTCACTAGGAACAAGATTATGTTACACGCACAACTCTTGTGTTATCACTTGGCCTCCACACTAGCACAAGCTGCTAAAATCAGGATACTTATTTGTCGTTTCCAAGCAAGTCAGGATTCATAAATCAAGGTTATGGTCTTTCTTGACTTGTAAAAGGGAGGATATAACCCATGGTTTCAGGTTTAATTTAATATCAATCAAATCAGTTCTGATTTCTCAAGCAGCTTGTATTATTGCCAAGAACCAAGCGAGCCAGTTGGTCCAGAAGTTCTGGTTTACCGTTCTATGCAAATACTGTCATGTGTCTTAAGGACTCTTTGGATCACAGCCCGACATTGGTGTATTTTGAGTCATAATTTTCCTGTTCTTACATTTCACAACACTTGCTGGTTTGCCAAGAACCAAAGAGGACAATGACTTCTCCTTCCTTCACCTCCTTACTGAGAAGAATCCGAATGCACCAGTGAGATTTCCATGCTTTCCAAGCTAATTTTGTGGGTGTTTGATATCATCCATGTAAAAGTTTAATAGTGTTTTCCTTGACAATCACTGAGATAGCTGCTGGGCTTTTCCATATTGCTACGAGTTCTTAATCAGTGAAGTTTCTGTTGCTATCTTTCCCCATACGGTCTGAAGCCTATAACATTTCCAGATGTTTTGTCATTCAATTTTTTCTAAATAGATAATTTTACATGTTTAGATTCATTTCATTAAGATACTATTACCTCCGCAAAGCAGTCAAAGTTCTGATGCCTTGTTGCACTATTTTGGGTTGTTTGTAAAATGCGACACCTGGTGTACAGAAAGCCATATTTTATTTTGAAGAAACACTTCTTTAATTTGTTGTCCTGTAATGGGCTTAATAAGGGATGTGGTGGCGCCGCAGGTTAAACCACAGAAGCCTCTGTACTGCAAGGTCAGAAGACCTGCAGTCGCAAGATCGAATCTATGTGTCGGAGTAAGCCCCCGTTGCTTGTCCCAGCTCCCTCCAACCTAGCAGTTCGAAAGCATGTAAATGCGAGTAGATAAATAGATACCATCTCGGTGGGAAGGTAAACAGCATTCCGTGTCTAGTCACGCTGGCCACGTGACCACGGAAGATTGTCTACAGACAAACGCTAGCTCTATGGGTTGGAAATGGAGATGAGCACCGCCCCTTAGAGTTGGAAACGACTGGACAAATTGTCAAGGGGAAGCTTTACCGAGGCAGTGGAAGACAGGATGGCTTGGCATGCTCTGGTCCATGGGGTCACAAAGAGTCGGACACGACTAAACGACTAAACAACAACAACAACAAAAATGGGCTTATGACCATATGATTTAGAATGGGTTTTTAGGCACCACTCACCTAGCTGACATAGATTAAGAGAAGTTCCTTTTAATTTTGTTGGAATGTCAAAGGTCTGTCTCTGTTCAGTGACAAATAAGACAAATAGATGTTTAAGAGCAACTTATCTCATCTAACCGGTTTATCAGAGAAAGACACTATTCTGTATGACTCATTCTGCAAGACATTTGTATGAGGAACTTGAACTGAACTTTAACATTATAGCATGAAGTGTGGACCCTTGACTTACAGACGGCTTGACTTACAGACTTTTTGAGTTACAGACTTCTCTGGCCACAAAATTTAGGTTTGACTTGCAGACTGAGATTTGACTTACAGACCAGAAAAAAACCAAAATGGAACAAAAACGGCCTGTTACGGGATTAATCGGTTTTCAATGCACTGTAGGTCAATGGAGACTTGACTTACAGACTTTTTGACTTGAGAACCGCCTTCCAATACGGATTAAGTTCTCAAGTCAAGACCCCACTGTACGTGTGATCTCAAGGGAATTTATGAGTGCTGTTTTATTTGGAAGACATCACAAAAGCCAGTGCTCACTAACTGGTGGCATCTGAGTTTTAAAATAAATATTTATTTATTTATGTATAAATATTGTTCACAGGAAATGGCTGAGAATTTTGTTTCAGTTTCTGTTTAATAATTTAGACCTTTGGTCTAGATGGGCAGGATAGAAATCCAATAAATTAAATAAATAAGATAAATAAATAAATAAAAATTTGCCCAAATTCACAGATATATTCATATCCACAATGGGACAAATTTGAAATTAAAGGAAACAAACTCTAAAATGAGAGATGGTGAAACCAGCAGATTTGTGTATTCACTGCCAGAGTGTCATACGCCTTACAGTACTCTTAAAGGCCTGGGTTTCACTCTGTTGAAGGTACAGGTTTTTGATAAATCTAGCAGAGTTATTTGGAAGCACCCATACACAGGCACTGTGTACCCCACTTGTTTGGTTAAAGTTAATATTATCCTGTTGGAAAAGGGGGAAATGGTTCTTATTTAGACTTTCATAAGAGCGAAAGGCAAATTTTAGTTACTCATAACAGCTTACAAACATATAAATGCATGCAAGTGCAACATTTTGTTTGTTTACATTTTTACTCTGCCCACTGCTCTAGGTGGCTTACAATACTGCAACATAAACCTAAAATAAATGTCAATAATTAAATTAAAACATCAAATAAAAAGAGAACCAAAACTTATAATAACTATATTTTTAAAATACCTGACACAAAAGATGCAGCAAAGCAGAGATTGTTATTTCAAAAATAATGGAATATAAAAAACCAGGATTAAACGAAATTCAATCCAAGGTAATGCTGTAAAAGGTCAGTGTAAACAGCCACATCTTCACAGGTCCAGACTCACCCTTTTGATGTGGGCTCATGCATTCTAAATAAGGTTGGTTCAAGTGTGTGTGTGTGTGTGTGTGTGTTTGTGGGAGGAGCGATATGCTGTTTAGTCTGATCCATGCATCCAAATGGCACACACACAGAGAGGCAACATATCAGTGCAAGGGAAGAAAAAGCAGCTGATCAAAAGCAGACAGACAGGGATTTGTCCTTTGCACTCCCATTTGGCTACATTGAGTTTGGAGGGAGGGGGAAAGGAGAGCAAGAAGAGAGAAAGGAGTGGGATATGCAGAGAAAGGGAGAGTGCAATCTCCCACCACCACCCCATCTTGCCAGTAGAGACAAAAGAAAGGGACACCCCCCCACACCTTTTGCACCTTGCAAACACACAGAGAAAGAGTGAAAAACTAATACAGTATATATATTATAACTGAGCAAAATTGCAAGTAGGATGAAGTAGTCTGTGTGGAACTATAGTGTGATAAACAAAGGATGTGAGGAATTACTACTTTTAAACCTAGAAACTAATGATAATAATACTTTTGATGAGCTCTAAATCAGGACATTTCCTAAATGTATATTTTAAGTGGCCATTGAAATTGGTCAAGATTGCTGCAGAGAACATATTTCTCAAATATTTGCTTTCTTGAAAATAAATGGCAGTAGGCACTACCGAATATATACCTAAACTAATCTACAGTGGGGTCTTGACTTGAGAACTTAATCCGTATTGGAAGGCGGTTCTCAAGTCAAAAAGTCTGTAAGTCAAGCCGTCTGTAAGTCAAGGGTCCACTGTAGTGTATAAATAAATCTAAATATTGGCTAAGTTAGGTATATACAAATATACAGCCAAATGCTATTCACATTTTTAAAGCTTTCTTTAGAAAGGCAAAAAAAAAAGCAAACAAAATACCCTGCTGCTATATGTTATCTGAACTAAAAGCTATCCAATGGGATGCTGAACAATAAATTCCACAGGGAATGCTAGGAAGAACAGTACAGTACATTTGTTAGCCTATAATTTGCCTGGCAAAACAGTGCTTCCTTGGGTTGATGTGCCTCCAGAGTTATATGTTGAACATTATAAATGTTTCTGCTAGGCAACTATGTTGGCAAGCTGAATTGCAGGGATTCAGCTTTGCTACAGCTTGATTTGTGACTTGCAGCCTGTTGTAGGCTTCTGTTCAGACTGGTTGATTGCATATAACCTGTGGATTGTTTTGGTGCCAGTGTCCAAACTGGTTCCTCAGTCTGAAGTTGTTTGATCTGCATCATAGCCCATAGTCGCGCTTCCTTTGATCCCAACTCTGTGCTGATCCCCAGCTCTCCTTTTTATGATCCATTGAAAAGCTAGTGAGCTATTTAAAGGTGTTGCACAGCACTATGGAAAAGGGACAATTTTCCAAAGTTTTCCATAACATGCAAGCACCTACATATACTGCGGCAATGCAGTAGTCTGCTGTAGTTCATTGGAGTTGTTTCTGTTTCATATAGATTTTTATTTCTCTATATTTTTTTCTCTTTGCAGAGGTAATCTGGTGCTAAACCAGTATATCAATATACTGTAGTGATAAGATGATCTAGCACTAAACTCAGTAGCTTGTGTAAAAAAAAACCTTTGAGGCAACAAAGGAGAAAAATTGCAGGAGTGGATGTTCCCACTGTCCAAATGTAACGCCCAGCTTAGTACATCACTGGACTCCCACCCACAGTCATGACCACCCCCACAATCCTTTTGCAGAAAGGATTGCAATCCTAATTGCAGAAACAACTAACAACACAGGAAAAAGTCTTTTCAAATTGTTCTGGCTTGAAAAAAAATGTAGAAGCCCCCATCTGCAGAAAAGAAAACTCTGCTTTGGGAGCAAAAAGGGCTTG